ATGTTTCATTTAATTTGTATAAATGCATTATAAAGCGTTTTTATCAAGAACATTTGTTCGGAACACACTGTAACTGTAATCGAACAAAGCTAAAATTTTGGCATAAATTGGTAACACTTATTTGACAGTTGCGGTGTTGACACTTTTTGTACTTCATTATTTTGAATTTTAAAGTGAATATCTCTTGTTTTATATTTTTAACTATTTAATAAAATCTGTTCTGTTTAAAACAAAATTAGTGTGTTTTATTTCAAAAATGTCACGTAAGAATTTAAATAGTCGTTGTAAAGAGATGGTAATACTTTTGCAATAATTATGTAATCTATTTGAATTAAAATGGAGTCAGGATTTTTTTATACTTTGGCAACTATGTCAACTTCGATCTCTGACGTAGATAATGACGTAAGTCGTTATCTAAATTAGTTGAAGTATACAATAAAATTGATTAAAATTATATAAAAAATTAATAGTAATAATTAAATTACCGTATATAATAGAAATGCATTGAAATTATATAAAAATTCAAAGATTTTAATTAAATTAAAGATAATAATCAAATGCATATACACTTCATCTAATTTATATAACGATGCACGTCATCGGCGTCATAGCCTGTGACGTCACATGATACCAACACAAAATATTTAGGATGTAGGTGTATTCTTTTTTACAATCACTTTACCGAGTACACTGGCATTACAGCCACTAGACATATTTTATTATATACGCGTTGAAATAATATTTAAAAATTTCTATTAATGTTAACTTAAAGAAATACACAATAATATGTTTCATTTAATTTGTATAAATCCATTATAAAGAGTTTTTATCAAGAACATTTGTTCGGAACACACTGTAACTGTAATCGAACGAAGGTAAAATTTTGGCATAAATTGGTAACACTTATTTGACAGTTGCGGTGTTGACACTTTTTGTACTTTATTATTTTAAATTTTAAAGTGAATACCTCTTGTTTTATATTTTTACCTATTTAATAAAATCTGTTCTTTTTAGAACAAAATTAGTGTGTTTTATTTCAAAAATGTCACGTAAGAATTTAAATAGTCGTTGTAAAGAGATGGTAATACTTTTGCAATAATTATGTGACCAATTTGATTTAAAATGGAGTCAGGATTTTTTTATACTTTGGCAACTATGTCAACTTTGATCTCTGACGTAGATAATGACGTAAGTCGTTATCTAAATTAGATGAAGTATACCTTTGTTATTGTTTATTGTTTTGATACGAAGATACACGAAGTTCATGATTTCTTACGAAGCATCACGAAGTTGATCTTGTGTTTGAAAACATCATGGACGTATGAAAGCATTTTCTCCATTTTGTGTGACAAGCAAATTTTATTTTAAATTGTTGAGAGTTATTTACTTACTATTTTAGTAAAATGCCATACTATTTTATCAAAATAATTATTTCTCTTATAGATGGGACAAAAAGAAATCATAAATATTTAATTTTAATTAAAAAAATAATTATTGTCATTAAAATATAAATGAACACGCCGCTGTTCTAATAAACATACCTTCAACCAATGACGTATAATATATAGACTACGCAGTCCCCTATTCTCGCTATAGAATCGAGTGTCCGAAAGATCTCGGCTCAAGATTGAAGGTATGTTTATTAGAACAGCGGCGTGTTCATTTATATTTTAATGACAATAATTATTTTTTTAATTAAAATTAAATATTTATGATTTCTTTTTGTCCCATCTATAAGAGAAATAATTATTTTGATAAAATAGTATGGCATTTTACTAAAATAGTAAGTAAATAACTCTCAACAATTTAAAATAAAATTTGCTTGTCACACAAAATGGAGAAAATGCTTTCATACGTCCATGATGTTTTCAAACACAAGATCAACTTCGTGATGCTTCGTAAGAAATCATGAACTTCGTGTATCTTCGTATCAAAACAATAAACAATAACAAAGGTATTCATGTTTTGGACACTTTTTAAAGCGTTCACCGAGTCTATATATTATACGTCATTGCCTTCAACCTTGAGCCGAGATCTTTCGGACACTTGATTCTATAGCGAGAATAGGGGACTGCGTAGTCTATATATTATACGTCATTGGATGTATTATAGTCTATAGTCACAGAATAATAAACAATCAGAAGGGACACTCTCAGATGCCGCCTTTGAAGTTTTTCAGCACGCGCGCCATGTTTGAGGAGGACACATACATATGATTTGTGTGGTTATGTAATTGTTTATATTTATGTTTAATTATATTATATTTATGTTATTATATTTAACAATGTTAATATAATTGTATAGTATGTCTATGATTGCCGTAAGTCAAATAAACCTGGTTAATTTTTCCATGCACACCACATAAACAACACTAATTTCTTTAAAATCCTCCTAAAACATGGCGGAACGTCTGCGCGGAGGAGATGCGCGTACTTAATTTTCCGTGGAGAGTGGGTATTCTGTATGTTTATTATTCTGTGCTATAGTATTTGGCCTTGTTAAGAATCATAATACGATGGATACGACAATTGACTAAGAAGATAAGATATTGCGCATAAGTCGTGACGTCATTGGAGAGTTTGACGTTCGAAATGTCAGATTTTGTTATGTATCAATAAATAATCTTTAATAAATAGTTTGGAGATATCCTTATGTGTACGATTATTGTAATTATTAAACCTCTTAACTTATTTTCGTCTAGTAATTTCATCACAGAATGCATACAAATCCCATTTAATTTTAACAAGAATTCAAATTCTACTCTCCAATGACGGCATGCGCGAACACAACCTATTTTGTGCTACGGGAAGATCCTATCTTGTTATTATAGTATCATGCATAAGAATAACTCTAAAATTAATAGTAAAATAGCAAATCAAAATTAAAGGTTTTTTAAAAATACTTTTTGCGTATTGTTTCCAATAAAAATTTGTTATTTTATATACAGGATGTTTACTGATGTTATATATCAATTACCATACCAACTTTCTTATTTTAAATGAAACATTGGTTAGGTATATTATAAATTTTTTGGATTATGCACAAAATTCCCAGAACTTTGATATATTGCATGTTATAGTTTTAATTATTTATTTTAGGATACAGGGTGGTTAATGAATAGATCACTCTCTGCTTGTCTCCTTATGACTTTAAAAGGTTCTATACCTAATTTCAATAAAGAAGGCATCAGTATTTACATGACATCACACTCTGTACAACACATTTTTATTGGAAACATATGCGCAACAAAAAATATTAAAAAAAACAGAGCTTTTCGAGGAACTATTCATCATTTAATAAATAGGTATTATAAACCTCATTGAAACTTCGGTGTTGACACATTCAGAAATGAATACAAATGAACTGCGCAAGTCTGCACAGAATAGTGGGTCAGACTCTAGACGTTAGTGACAATGTGATTGTTTCAATGGTCACTGGACCTAGACCTAGGTCCATCGAGCAATAAGACAAAAGAGGGAATGTAAAGGTAGTGGGGGTAAACATATTGATAGACAGGAAGTGCTATTTTGAGAGGCCACTTTAAACAAGGATAGAGAATCTCTTTCCTTGTTTAAGAAATCAAATTTAGTTTGGTTATGTTATTGTTGATATTATTGTTTGTCAAAACTGTCACATGAAAGCTTATATTTATATTTTCTATTGAAGTTTTTTAACATTTTAGACTATTATAGTGTTAAAAAAAGTATTTTAATAAATAATTTTAATAAATAAATAGATAAATATATAATATAAAATATTATGTAATATAAAATAAATAAATAGATACATCAAAACCCCTACACCACTGTATGATTATTGTCAAGTGTCATGAAATTTAAATTTGGCGCGTTTGCATTTCCGGATGTCCGCCATCAGAGGCCACTTTTTTGGTCTCCTTTTCATAACGATTAGATTCCCTCTTTTGTTTTATTGCTCGATGCCTAGGTCACTGTAAGCTTTATTAGTTATTATTTTAGACTAAAGAGTGTCTAGTCAAGCCACCGAACAACCGTTGTTCGGTGGTCAAGCTATTGACGTATAGATGGTGGAGTGTATTTCATATTAATTGCGATAGCACATATTAGTAGCATAGCTCATATTTGTACCTTCTCTAAATTGTAAAATACAAAACTGACTACGATCTAAGCTTCTACAAAGTACAATATGTATGTAATCAGATTTATTCAGCTTTCTTCTTTACTGGCCTAATAATATATATATCGGTAATTCAATATTGTTTACTGGACATTATACAGTGCAAACCACACTTCTGAATAAACTTCTAAACCACTGCTAAGAATTCGTTACGGTTGATGTATTTCTTAATAAAAAAAAAAATCGTACAGTTTCCATACTTTTTATTTTATTTTCTGAACTCGTGCAATTGATATAATAATGTACATAATAAATAATAATTAAAGCACAGTTCTACGATTAATTATATATCAACATTGATTGACAAAGACTATTTAGTGCACATTTTTCCGAAGCATATTTATTAAAGCCACTTCTACTTTGAAATATGTAGAGATGTCTTTGTTATTTATTATATACACTCATTAAATTTTGGTCACACACACAATTTTCTGTTTCTAACTCTTAAACCGTGTACTCGGTGTGATGTAACAAGGTGTCTATTGTCAAGACGCTGCACGCATTACTAATTAGCTGCTTATTATTCGTCGGTTCACACTTTAACGTTTCTTTTATACGATTGTTTGCCGAAAATTAATGGTTTATAATAAATAGATTATAATATCGTTCAAAAGTGTATATTTTTAGCTTACAATTCTTTTTAATATAATGAAATGAGATTAGCTACCGCGAGTACATAGATACAGTGTGATAATTTTAAATTATCTTCATTTCTGTAAATAATATGAAAAATCGTAGACAAAATTTTTTTTTCAACAGTGAATCTTTCATGAATATTTTTAAACTTCAAAGTTCAATCCTCCAGCTCTATATAATTATAATTATTGTAATTTACTTTTTTTCAGTTATTGAGCTATTAAAGTACGAACCAGAATTTTTATCATACGGCTTTTGGCTTGGAACAACTGTAGCAGTTTGTGCCGGCTTATTTTTCTCAGGACTCAGTGCTCTTTTCGCAGCCATTAACACAGCCACCACAACTTACAGATGCTTAACCAAAGTGACGGGATTGTATTTTTGGAACTTCCTTGCAGGTAGGATAAACGATTCTTAAACACCATACCACAACAGCAATTCATTTTTATTTAGGTATTTAATATTCATATAGGTATAGACATCTTTCAAACTAATTTTCACATTTCTATTTTCCACCACACTTGTCACTTGTAAATCACCTATGCATGTTGCCTCCATACTTTTTCCTTTTTCTGCCAGTTGTATTTCTCTTCTCTCTGCAAATCTTTTCTTGTTTATCAGTACCTCTTCATTGTTTATATAATGATGTGTAGCTCCCGAGTCTGCATACCACTCTAAGATTAAACCGTCTACACTTTCAGATGTTGTACAGAAAGCAACAGCATTATCCTCTTCTCCATTACATTCATTCATAGCATAATTTGCCCTGTTTCCAATTTTTTGTTTGTCATTCACATTCTGCTTTTTGACTAAACATTGACTTGCTCTGTGTCCCATCTTACCACAGTTGAAACATTTAATGCCACATACACTCTTCACATGCCCAATTTTTCCACACTTAAGCATTTTACTTGCTTTTCTGTTGTACTAAAAGATGAAGGCAAAACTTTTGTGCTTCTTGAATTTTTATTGGAATGAAATTCCAGCAACCCACTTTTCACAAATTCTACTTTTAAATCATCTTCTGATAAAGTTCTTATGGCTGTGACTACATTTTCAAACTCTTGTGGCATTGACAATAATAGGAAACAAGACATATCAGATTCATCAAATTTACTTCCCAGATTTTTAAGTTCTCTGAACAGTCGATCACATCTTGAGAAATGATCCTGAATATCTATGTCACTGGTGTATTTTAACGTTGTTAATTATTTTAATAAATAGAACTTAGAACTTTTTATCAAAAATTCCTTCCAGTTTCTTTATCATATCATGAGCTATTTCCACTTCTTTGATGTATTCCAAATGCGAGTCAGCAATACTTTGAATAATTACCATACATGCTTTATTGTTTTTCTTATGCCATTCATCATTTCTATCAACCGCGGGAACCGGCTTCAAAGCTTCACTACATTCCAGGGCCTTCAATACTGAAAACAACCTAAATTTCCAGTTGTCAAAACTGTTTCCATTAAAAGGTATTATGCCATATTTGTTTTCAGTTGACTTCTCCATTTTTTGAACTTTTACAACCACGTGCCTTTACTAGCCTCTTTTCACGTTTTTATGTTTTCTTAATCAACACACTCTTTGTACTTCTGGGCCCATAACCAATGTTATATTGAAGAGTAGAAAATAAAAGAATGTGTTGATAGTTTATTGTAATACTAACTCAAATAAATGTGATACATAAATACATAATTAAAAGTGGTTACATTATGATACCATCTTGAAAACGTTGACATGACATATATAAATCGTGCTGTCAAGCGTAGGCAGGTGTGTTCCTTATTCACGAGTATTTATTTAACAGTATAGAATTTGCTTAAGCTTTTCTTTGAAAAGAAAATTGGTTTATGGGGATCATCGAGCAAAAAGACAAAAGAGGGAATGTAAAGGTAGTGGGGGCAAAAATATTGTTAGACAGGAAGTGCTATCTTGAGAGGCCACATCATCGAGCAATAAGATAAAAGAGGGAATCTAATCTTTATGAAAAGGAGACCAAAAAAGTGGCCTCTGATGGCGGACATATCCGGAAATGCGAATGCGCCAAATTTAAATTTTCCGACACTTATCAACAGTAGCTATATAATATTTTTCAGAATGTGTCTTAGACGAGAAAGTTAATTAATTATTAATGATAAGAGTCTAAAATGCGACACAATTGTTAAAAAACTTCAATATAAATAAGATTTCATGTGACATTTGGGACAAACAATAACATAACCCAACTAAATTTGATGTCAAACAAGGAGAGAGACTCTCTTTCCTTGTTTAATGTGGCCTCTAAAGATCGCACTTCCTGTCTAACAATATGTTTGCCCCCACTACCTTTACATTCCCTCTATTGTCTTTTTGCTCGATGGGCCACATTAAACAAGGAAAGATAACTTATTTATATTGAAGTTTTTTATCAATTTTTTCACATTTTAGATTGTTATCGTTAATATTTAATTAAACATTTCTCGTTTAAGACATATTCGGAAAACTATTTTATAGCTACTGTTAATAAGTGTTGGAAAATTTAAATTTGGCGCATTCGCATTTCCGGATATATCCGCCATCAGAGGCCACTTTTTTGGTCTCCTTTTCATAACGATTAGATTCCCTCTTTTGTCTTTTTGCTCGATGATGGGGATTAAAATAAAGAAAATATTCTGACAGGCTATCCACATCCGGTTATACCGAAAGTGAGAAGCAACTTTTTTATTTTAAACAGAATACCAAATAAAACATAGTTACATTACATAACAACTTAATCTATTTTTTTAGGTGGAAGATTTGTAAAAATTCCAATCACAAATAATCACAATTATGACGTCTTTATAAATGCCAATACACAATATCTTACCTTTAACATTAAACCACAATTATCTCCAAAAAAGTATTAATTTAAGTATACAAAACCTTAACACTATTTAAAAGACAACTGATTTCTTTTTTCATTAAAATTATAAAATACAAAGTGTTTCATTTAAAATTATTGACTTACTATGGTTTAAAGTTTAAAGAAATGACGTATCATTTATGAACACCCTGTATTTAGAAATTATATTCTATTCAAAAAAGAATATTAAACAGAGTATTCTATTTAACATAACAAAGTTGCTGCTCACTTGCGGTATAACATAATTTATACAATACTGAGCCAAATTCTGGGTAAATATCAACAACTTGAATGTAGGAATTTTGTTTGAACTTTTTTTGAAACTTAAAAATTTTGATTTGTGTAGCAATAAATTTAATCCACAATATTTTAGTTGTCAGCGACGTGATAGCTATTTGTCTGTGGACGGCGCAGTTCTTTTTGAATGTACAGTATAGCGTACTTTCCAGAGAAGACAGGGACAATGAATGGACCTCAGAAAATATGGCAGAACTCGGATATTCCTTCTGGTGAGTATATTTTTGATTGAACAGATTCCAATTTTGTCTTTAATGTGTGTTCACAGACTATTAACCCTTTCACTGCGGAAAGCGCGATATCGCGTCCTCAGAGTGTTTCATAAAATGCGGAGGGCGCGATATAGCGGCCTATGTAAATGTGACTTCAAATATAAACTATATCTTCCGCAGTCTTTGGAATGGCACAAAAATAACTCCGCACATACAGAAAGGTCTATTTTATCACAGTGAACCGTCCGTTGTAGAACTGGTTGCCTATTTTCGTAAATAAATTATCTAAAATATAACCAATAATTTTTGACATTACCTTGTGATCAGTACCTACTTTTATGTCGTTTTAATAACGGAAGTTTTTAATTTGTGTTGTATTGATTTTCTATAAAAAATGAGAGATTCACAGCAACCTGGACCTTCAGGTATAAACAAAGCGAAAAGTCATAAATGTAAGAAATCCAAAAAAATTATCGGTTGAGGAAATGGCAGAATTTTTTATAACTTTGATACGGAAAGTGAGCAAGACGACGAGGATGAATGTAAGTAGATAAATAATTTTAATGTGCTATATTATCGAAAATTGAAATATATATTTTTTAGTTCAAGTGGAAGATTTCTACAATAACGTAGATTCAGATTCAGATCTTACAGAAAATGAGGAGAGTTTTATGCAATTCCAGGCTGAAATTCGTGGAATGAAATAAGTGCTATGAAAAATATTCCTTTTATGGGAACAAATAAACTATTAGTTAAATCTCCTGGTGACAAACCATATGACTGGTTTAGGATGCTAATCAATAATGCATTTTTAGAAACTGTAGTGAGTGAATGTAATAACTATGGCATTCAAGTACTGGCTACTAGTAAAGGATCTGTACGATCGACAATCACTGAATGGAAAGAACTGACAGTAAAAGAGTTCCTTGTGTTCTTAGGATTAACTTTACTTACTGGTACTGTCAAACTTAATAAGTTACAAGATTATTGGAAAAACAGAGACTATTAACAACTTGTTTTTCAAACTACATGAGTAGAGACAGGTATTTATTAATTATGCGTCGTCTTCATTTTTGTATAACTTGGATGGAAGGTGATCAAATCCCCGAAGATCGTCTTTTTAAAATTAAACCTGTAATAGAACATTTCAACAATGTGATGAAGAAAGTTTACTATCCCAATAGACAACTTTCGTTAGATGAGTCAATGGTCTTTTGGAAATGAAGACTTATCTTCAAACAATATCTTCCAAATAATCGCCACAAAAATAGAATCAAACTCTATATGTTAACGGAACCCAGTGGACTTATTTTAAAATTTATTGTTTGCGGTGGCGAACGTGACTTGTTAGGAGGTAAAGACTATACAAAAAAAGTAGTAATGCATTTACTGAGCGATTACTTAGACAAAGGCCACTCAGTTTTCATGGATAACTATTAAAATAGTTTCCAGTTGGCAAAAATGTTACTGGATTGAAAGACTTACTGCACGGGAACGCTACGTAAAGATAGAAAGGGTTCTCTAAACGAAGTTATTCGTGCGAAATTAAAGAAAGGTGTAAGCCAAGCTAGGTATCTCGATAACATATTGATTGGTAAGTGGCGTGACAAGAAGGATGTAATTTACATAACTTTAGAATTTGAAAATCGTATGATGATAGTGACGAATCAAAGAGGTGTTGAAAAGGAAAAATCACAACCTATCGTCAAATATAATAAGTATAGGGTAGTGTAGATCCTCGGGATCAACAAATGGCGTACTATCCAGTAATTCGAAAGACTTTACGTAGGTACAAGAAATTAGGAATCCACATTTTTCAAATGATGATGATTCATTCAAATATATTATATAATAAGTATCACGTTCCAACAATGAGTCTTGTTAAATTTAAAACGTCAGTTTTAGAAAGGTTGTTACCAGAACTCAAATCAGTAACTATAAGTAACGTGAAAATTTCAAAACATATGCTTACTAAAATTAATACAACAAATGGAAAAGGTCACACCATGCGTAAAAAATGCCGTATCTGTACAAGAAAACAGCTATGAAAAGACACTTTGTTTCACTGTCTTTGTTGTTCAGACCACCCCGGACTGTGTATGGGTGCATGTTTTGTTGAATACCATAAAGGGAATTAGTTGATTATTTACTTTTATTTTTATATTATTTGATATAAATTTCAATTTTTTTTGTATCTTTTTTAATAAAAAATAAGTTCGCATATTTCTTTTTAGTATTATTTAACCTTGACACAATATTTTTGAGCTACAAAATAAATTCGGTGAAGCATAATTAGTTTTTATCAACTTTTATTGGGCCGCGAATTCGCGCTTTCCGCAGTTTATAAAAAATTTACAAAAATGTGCGGAGGACGCGAATTCGCGTCTAACAAAAAGTAAGTAAAATGGCCATCAGCAGTAGATTACCAACCGATTTTCTTCACATAATTCATAAATCATATTTGAAAATACGCAAAAAAAATATTTCCGCACATGTCTACATTCATATATTATTACCGCAGTGAAAGGGTTAAAGAATTTTGTAATCAATCAGACAAGTTTAATTGGCAAGAGTCTGTGTAAGTTAGTATTTGTATTCAAGACTAATTGTTTGCTGTTCCCATTGGTACTGGTCCTTCTACAGCTATTTTGAAGATGGTGGTTGACAAGTAAACATCTTGACTCACCTCTGTTTGCACTTCGATTCTTGATACTGTGATTTTTGGATATTGTCATTTTTGTTAATATGCTCAGCTTTGCCGGGATCTCTTGGTTTTTCATTGCCTCTTTGTTCGAAATGAATCAGACTGACAACCACAATCGTTTGCCTCCTTTAAACCAAACTCAGAATCATAGAATTTTCGTGCCACATCAAAAAAGGAAAACAAATAACTTACAGTGTATCTCGAACGAATTATATGTACCGCACTATACGTCCATGGTACCGCAAGTATTGTTGATCCACTTTTCCTAACTAGTATTCACTTGAGCGATTCTCCTTTCTAGTTGCTATTCATATATTTTCAATTTGATTGATTTTGGTTTTACATTCTATGTAGAATCATTCTTTGCTTCTTTTTATCTCGTTCTATCAAAGAAAAACATTAACTATTATTTTACATTGTGTTTTTGTTTAGGTTCGTCGTCGGAGCAGCTGTTGTATCCTTTACAAATATCATTCTAATCCTGATCGCAAATACAGAGAGAGAAGTGGAGACAGTCATACCAGTTTTAGAGGAAAAAGCCAACGGAGCCATTATGTTGTATTAGTATGTAGTGTATAAGCTATTGTAAATATTGTCAAATTGTTCTTATATAAATATTAGTTTTGTATGGAGTTTTAGTATATTCCACCTTAAATTATTTATAAATAAAAGTCTTCGCATTGAAATATTCTAACTCATTTCATTTTCTCCCAATAAAAATATTATGCAACATTGTGACAGCAAGTGTGATCATTGTTGCCTATATTCAGGATTTATTTCATGCAATTATTTATTTCAGGCTATTTATTAGAAAAATTTTACATGACTGGAACAATACCAGCGAATTGACTTATGTAATTAATGGTTCTAGCAATCCCAAAAAAGCTCGAAGAATGATAACAAAGGCGGTACTCATATTGCCGAGACTTTTTTCATCCCGATTTATAAATATTTGATGAATACAACTCAATATTAAACAATTTTCTGCTGAGAAAGCATTCTAACAAAAAATAAAGAATTTTCTATACTACGACCGCCATCTATTGGGTTTCCTAAGGACTTCTTGAACAACTTAGTAATGTTTTAAAATGAAAACATTTATTATAATTTAATGAACAATTCAAATTATGCGACGCAACTCATCAAGATTCCGAGAAAAAATACCAAAAAAACCCAGAGAATGAAAGCAAAGGCGGCGCGGTACTCATCTTTCGAGATTTTTTAAACCCAATTTATGAACCAAGTGACGAGTATACCTCAAACTTGTAAGTTTCAATAATAATATCCAAATATGGTTGGTTTTCTGTATACTTTACATTTACCTTCTCGAGTTATTTTCCTTTTTTATTGTGAATTTGATCGAATCTCCTCTACAGTGATGCCATCAAGAATTTCTGTAATGAGGTATGAGAGAGAATAGTACATCTCTCGTATCTACGCCTTTATCAAAGAAGTTTAAGAAATTCAGAGTGTACTCCGTCTGGTCCTGCAGCTCTTCCTTCTTTTAGTGATATTATGGCTGTCCTTATTTCTGCCACTAAAATAGGTGGTCCTGTTTCCGTAGGTATTGAGAAGTTGTCGTATTTACTTTGTGGAATTTCGATTTCTTGGCATTTTTTCTCCAGTTCTTTTTGTTTGGCTTTTCTGATCGTTCTCTGCATATCTCGTTGTAATGTTTTATACATAAAGTTATTGTTCTTTCGTCATCCATGTCTTATTCCTACCTTCTTCGTTCTTCATAAAATTGTCTTTAATGTCGTCTATCGTTTTATTAAGGGATTCTATCTTCTCTTCTGTGCTTTCCGTTTTATTATAGATTTCTTTGAATTTTCTATTTATTGTTTTGCTAACTATTTCTTTTACTTCACTAAATTTCAGTTTTCTCAGGTCATGTTTTTTTACAGTTTTTCTGCGTGTTTTCTTCAACTTGATTCTATACACGCCCATTAAAGGATTGTGGTCAGATTGAATATCAGCGCCTGGCTAGGTTTTAACACTGTTGAAACTATTTCGATATCTTTTGTTAACAAGTATGTAGTCTATTTGGTTTCTTATAATAATGTCTTCTTCGTTGTCTCTTGGTGATTTCCACGTACACATGCGTCTAGGTCGGAGTTTATAAAATGTGTTTAGCACGTTTAAATCATGTTCAGCTTCAAAGATACTCAATTGTTTCTCCTCGATATAGCGATAAACAAGAGCCCATAGATAGGGCAAAGTTTTGTTTCTAGAAATCAACTGAAAATGAGCTGGTAGTAGTTTTATTCGGATTATCAATGTACCGTCCTTCTCTAGCTTGATCTAGATTACAGCTTAGCTCTCTTTTTAAAGCTTCATCTCGATGCACATTTATAAATAAGCTAGTTATGTCAAAATTAACTACTAAGTTGTAATTACTCATATAAATTTTGAAATAGTATAATAAATCACGCTCAGATGTTTCCTTTTCTTGTTTATCGTGAACGTGATCACTCTATACAGAAATTTTTGAAATTGTTCTTATATCATATTATACATATTAAATGTCGGTTTTTGCCCACTAGGGCCTTCTTTCACATATAACTATTGATTTTAATTCTGCACGGACATTTTTATAAATATCTTGGCTGCATCGAATTGAATTTATCAATTTTTTGTCTTTAACAGTATCGAAAACATTTCAACAATTTTACTAAAATACCTCCATTAATATATCGTATAATTTTATATTTTTTGTAATAATCTTGGTCCTTCCCTTCCTGTTTATTTTCGCGAATGGGGCATGGTGGTGTAATTTTGAAACACAAAATCCGCGAGGCTGAATATCGCCATGACTTCTTTTCATATTGGAATAGGTTCTACATAGGTTAGGATAGGTTGGGAGAAATCTACATTGGCTCTGCATGTTGACGTGTAAAATTGGTAAATTAAAAATTCAAATACATATCTGAAATTTTATTAATTAACTATATGGGTTAATTAGCACACAGCACTGCCTTATCAACGAGTACAAGCCAGTTCCGCATTAAAATAACGATTACTATAAATGAAAACCCTCATAACCTGTAGGTAAATAAAATATCGGTATAATTGTGTAACTTAATTCTCTAGTCTACATATATAATGGCTTAACGTCTCCTTCCTACTTGGGACCAGCCCTCCTCGCCTTCCGGTTGAGATTGTTGCTCGCGAGCTGCTGCAAAAACAAAAAAAAATGATATTAAATGTCACCGGTAATTTTTCCTTGAATGTATTCTTGATTAATATTATAATTTAGTTAGCTTTCATCAATTCATACGCAGATGTCTTAAATCAGTTAAGTTTTTTGCCAGTAGTATTGTGCCTTCACAAACACAGTTTCACATAGCTAATATTACCATAAAAGATTCAAGACTTCTCTTAGGAAATCTGCAATTATACATTAAAGGACTATAAAGACAAATAATTTGTTTTCAGCGTTTATAGCAATCATTCTTTATAAACATGAAAGATGAATAACGATTTACTGAACATTGGCAGTGTTGCCACATTTAAGATTCCATATACTATGCCTAATTGAAAATTTACTCAATATAGAAATAAAACCAAGCTATGCCAGCAAATATGACTTAAGACGAAAGTTTGTCGCATAGATGCTGGAATAAATCGGCTAGTTGAATGAAGAATGGTCCAAAAATTACAGTAGGACAAATCCACAATATTAATGAGCATGCATTTTTGGAGATTAATACAGTTTTCACTATTATATTATATTTAGTTTTCTTCATGTTAAAAAAATTCCATACTCATCGCATTCTGAAAAACACTTGACATAATAGATATTGCAAATCATTTTCACTACTTTTCCTTAGAACTATATAATCTACATATCGTACGATTGTTGATTTTGACATTGATTGAATTTTGCCTTGTAACGTTAATAATATCAGCTTTATAGTTCCACATAATGTCAACATCTTCTTACACTGTAGTGATATCCCCCTACACTTTACAAATGTAAATCAACCTCATAGAATCCGTTTTAAACGCAACTCTACATTATGCACAGAAATAGAACAAGATCCGTTTCTAAGGAATGGCAGCTCTAAGTTCTGAAACTAAAAGTTGGCTAAATTCTTTTGATGGCTAGTTAACAACACAGTAACTAAACCTTCATCTCAATTGATATTAATTTTACATGTAGTGCATTACAGAGTCATCAGGAAGGACTTCTCTAACCTTAAAATTACTTCCTTGTCCATTTCAACAATAATAAAACAATTTATGTACTCTATTAATTGATCGCAGTGTCTTACATATTTGCTAAATTTTCAAGTGATTATCAAAAATATCGCGCATATTGAAAAATAAAATAAAAAGTTATTAAACACATCCAAAATGCATTTGCATCACCAGCAAATAAACAAGAGCCATTGCCAAACTCCAACAAAGTTGCTCACTAAGGCAAATTGCAAAGGTGGGCTCATTTCACTCTATAGCATGATTGGATGGTTCAAGAGAAGTTTCTTTTGCCACTGCTCAAAAAGCTAGAGAAGAGACAGTGTTCTGGTACCATTAGTTACCAATTAATTGATAAATGGTGTAGCTGCAGAAAACCTTTTTTGACTGAGGATCACAAGAAACAAGTTACATTTTTCATAAACCTAAAATATAACTTTGGGTCTAACATTGCATTTTCCGATGAAAAAGTTTTTGAATCATATAGCAATTGTCAAATAAGAGTTTATAGGCCGAGAAATCATAGGTTTGATGAACAGTATAGTCATCATTTAAAAAATAGTGGATTCTCTGTCAATGTAGGGGGATGGAAAAGTGCTGAATGCCTGAGTGTTTGTTTTCATGTAGAAGAACAATTAACAGGATTATATTACAGGCATATCCTTGAGAATATAATGTTCCGATCAGTGATCCAGAGATTCCCCAATAACAACTTCATCTTCATATGACAATTGCCTGGTGCATTCAAGTAGAATCGTTGGGAGGAACTTATGTTAATGTTCTTCCATGGCTTTTCCAGAGTCCAGACATAGTGGGAAACCCCGCCCATTAGAGAGAGACGCAAGAACTGCTCGCATCTGTTTTCTCTTTCGCACTGGGGAACGGTTTTAAATTGCAACGGCAGTCTAGGTATTATATAACTATAGTTGGGAATGGAACTAATATAATTTAACATAAACAGGGGATTTGAAAATAACAACAAAAAATTGTGCAAAAATTCATAAATAGTAGAATAGCAGAAAGATTGCACAAATCTTTTCTCAAGAGTAGAAAAATATCAACTAGCAAGGACAGGAATATTAATATTTGTATATAAAACCAACGACACTTCTACACTTATAAAAATATCTGCAAAACAACTATATTAATATATGCCCGGCGTCCGGACATATTTGCGCGTATCTGGAAATAGGAAATAATTGCAAATTAATAATAAGGTAATAAAAATGACACAGCAACACGAATTTAGTATTTCTTCCTGGGTTTACTTACATATAGTATTCAAAAAATATAAAAAGGTGGACACTTACGTTTTTCTCTGGTCATCGGAGCTCCTCTTCTATCGTCTCTCTTAGTATCATCTCTGCGATCGGTCTCTCGGTTAGCACCACTCCTCCATCCTGATTCTGGAGCTGCTTCTCTCCTCATAGGAGTAGAACGACGGTCGTCGTCAGTCTTTCTACGCCAAGTACCTTCGTCCCCGCCTCTTCGGTCCCTGTCGTCTCTACGATCGTCTCGGCGATCACGATCGTCTCGGCGATCCCGATTATCGTCTCTTCGATCCCGATTATCGTCTCTTCCGCCCCGGTCGTCCCTTCTCTCCCTATCATCTCTACGGTCTCTGTCGTCTCTCCTATCTCTATCATCTCTACGCTCCCTATCTCTGTCGTCTCTCCTCTCCCTATCGTCTCTGCGATCTCCCCTATTATCTCTCGTAAATCTGACACCACCTTCTCTGTCACCGAATCTTCCGCCCTCGCGGCCGCCATATCTTCCTCCGCCGTCGCCACCACGACGCTCACCTTGGCGATCGTCTCTTTTATCGTCATTCCTCCAAGAAGAAGAAGTAGTTGTAGTGTCGCCTTTTGGAGGTTCTTCGGCATTTGCTCGAAAACGAGATGCTATATGAAAAAAAAAATCATATATAAATGACCAATGTTGCACTATAAAGATATTATTCTTCCTTACATCAAGAGAAGGTGTATTTCCTCTGCCAAGAGGAACCTACCTAGAGGAATTTCAAGACTATAGGTACTTTCCTTCAAGAGTTAATCACATAAATAGTTAAGCAGACACCAACACCCATTGTATAACTTAATAATTTGTGAAAATATCGAAAACGAGGAGAAGAAGAATACATGAAAAATGAAAGAGGTCAATAATTGATGAGCTCGATAGTAAACAATGGTAATGGACAAATTTTTACCGAAATATTATGTAAAAGATGGCAAGGGACATGGCAACACAGAAAACTTGACTTATTTTATCCTCCGAATAATAGATGGCGCCAGATTAATTTCTTAAAATTTTGTAAGAGACATGCATAAGGATGAAAATAATGTTATGTGACCATGATAGCGGAAGACCAAGCAGGTTGTTCAAATCTAAATGGCTTTTTTGATGTTAATAGTGACAATCCTGAAACTGACAGTAACATCTCCAGAAGATGACAACCCCTAGTGTTAACGAAACATCGAGAACTAATCTCTGAAGACAACAGCCTAACAGCCCGAACAAACAGTTTAACAAAAAGAAAGTTGTTTGTTGCCTTGATATGTAGAAGATTTCTTTAAATAAATTTAAACAAATTATTGAGTCTCTCATTTACAGGTTCTATTCCAGTTTTGTTCCAGTGTTCTATTTGATGGATTATAAAGAGGATAATGTGATCGCTAACATCCATTAGTGGATTTGCATCTGAAGAAGAAGAAAGAGGATAATCAAGACAATGCATTCTAGTAATTTGTAACTTAAATACTTCAGTCGCATCATGAGGAGCTGCGAAATATATGGATAGTTGCAACTAATTTTACAGGGACAAGTAGAAGGAAAACAAAGACCAGGAAGACGAATGTATTCCTTTCTGAAAAATCTATGTACATGGTTCGACACAACAACCATAAATCTTTTCAGAGCAGCAGTGTGCAAAGTACCATGATGGTCACCAGCATCCGAAACAGATAGGAAACTAGACAAGAACAATATAATGTGTATGTAATTCAGGTAAAATATTTTATTGAAATACTACGATACCTTTTTCTAAGGCATTCTAATAAGAAAATAATAACAAAATAATGTATCCACACAAAAATAAATACGCTTACCTCTCCAAGGTTCATTTTTCGGTTCCTCAGCAGGTTTATCGTCCCTCCTCCAAGAAGAGCTATTCTTGGGGTCTTTCCTCCAGGAATCTTTTCCTTTGTCGCCGCTTTCTTTTTCCATCGCTAATTTCTTTTCGATCTCTTCCTCTTTAGCTTTCTGTATCGTCCAAACTCTATCCAAACTCTCTTGATGTTCCTTCATCTTCCTTTCTTGTTCCTCTTTTTGTGCGCGTTCACGTTGTTCCCGTTCTTTCCTCGCTATTTCCTCTAATCTCTCTCTTTCTTCTTCTTCGCGACGTCTCTTTTCATTGGCTCTACGTTCGGCTTCTTCTTCCTTTTCTTTGATATATGTAGCACGGCGTTCCTCTTTTCTTTGGATCTTTCTTTCCAAAAGCCTCTTCTTTCTCTCCTCACTCAACATCTTGTCGAATTCCTTAAGATTGTCTTCGTAAACAATGTTCCTCTCCTTCTTTAATTTAGAGATGAATTCATCTTTGTCGACTTTCATACGTAGCAAACGGTCTCTCGTTGCGACGGCTAGCTTGCGCTCTTCAATTGCTGCGGCGATTCGCTCCTTCTCCTGTTGCTCCCAGAAGTTTTGATCCTGTAATTGACGTTCTTGCATATTGGCTTGAAGTAGAGGAATTTCTTCCAACCGTTTAGCACGCTCAAAGTAGTCTACCTTCTTTTCTTGGGATTTGAGCTTGGCTTGAAGTTCTCGACGTTCCTTTTGCAGCTCCTCAGCTTCTTTCACCGCTATCTGGTCTGCATCAAGTTTTTTTATATCCTATGAGGTTAAAATTTGATAAAAATATAGTTTCAAGTGGAGAGAAAAGATTATACTCACATCTTCATCCATTTTTTTCAGTATCTTTTGACCATGACCAGTTTGTCTGATTTGTTGTAGTTTTTCCTTTAAGTGTCTGTCTTTAACCTGCTGAATCTCATTTAGAGCACGTTTCCGCTCTCTTTCTTCCCTTTCTTGGTCCAATCGTTTTTGTTCAGCCATTAAGTGCTGTCTTTGCATTTCTTCCAATCTAAAATTATCATAATAACATTAATTCTGATTAAACGAGATTCCAAATGTGCTCTACAGAAAAATGTTGTTTTTATTATAAAAAAATAAATGTAGATGATGTGATTTGTTGCATTTGCAAAAGAAATTACTTCCACATAAGATAGTTGTGTTAGAAAATCTGGAAGAATGAACATACAGTAAAATGTGGCGAATGCACTAAAAGTGAGATTAGGTGAGAACAAATTGAATCAGTTTCAAAAATCTTTTCAGAATATTGAGGAGGCAATCGCTTTCTTAAGTAATAAATATAATTCTCTTATAATGGAAAACCAAAATGCACTTGCTTTATGTTAGAAAATATTCAATTTAAAACCAGTCATGAGAAAGGAATCTGTGAATTAGAAATTAAATAATATTCAAGTGCAAATGTCACAAATGTTGTGAGTTCTAATATTGTCATTTTCACAAATTTAAACTATACATATTATATGAACCCACCTTTTCTGCTCCTCTTCTTCCCTGACTGTATTCAAACGCTCAATATATTCTTTTCTGTCCTCAATAATCTTGTGTCTCTGTAAAATTTTCTGGTGTTCCCTAACCTTTGTTTCGTGATAATTCTGAACCATAACAGCTCTAATTTTTTCTCTCTCAAGCTAAAGATAACATAAAAATATTAAATTACTAATATGATCATATTGCTCAATCACGATCGATTGAAAAAATAGAATTAAAGTGTGAATATGAAGAAAAAAGTCTAAACAATGTTTCTATTGACAACAACATTAAATTACCCTCTTTATTTGCCTGATTTGGCACCACATGACTTTTATTCTTCCACATTACAGATTTTGAAACCACAAAAGTAAAAAAAATAAAAAAAAACTTTCTTAAGCAATAAGTTTAAACTCCTACCTTCTTCTTGTTGGGGTTAATGACTTGTATGGCTTGATTCAATACAGTAGACATGTTAATAAGTTGATTTCTGACTTGTTCACTTGGCATAACTTGCAAAGTGGGCCCCTCTGGTTTGTCCTCTCTTTGGCTCTCACTCAGATCCATTCCGAAGTGAATACAGTGTTTGCCATGATCAATACGAATTTGCATATCATTGTGTCTCACACAATCAACCTAAAAATATATTAACGCTTATAAAGTAGAGTAAAGAGTCTTCTAAATATAAACAAAAACGGATTGAACTTACCAAAAGTCTCTCCAGGTGAAAAGGTGTAGTAAATTTGGCAATCTGAAGTAACCTAGCAAATTCAATGGTCTGATAGACTTGTGCTATCTGTCTCACCAGACGCACCAGAGTTACATCTTGTAAAGCTGGCACATATTGTTGGAGAGCTGCATTCTCTTCAGATTCGAGAGATTTGATCACCTCATGCACTCTCTGGCATAACAGTAACGGATGGAACTCAACTTCCAGCCAATTGTATAAATCTTGTAGTTGGGGACTTGCCAGGTTCACAACATTAACTCTTACCTGAAATTAAAGACAAATTATTAATTATCAATGCTGTATATAGATGAAATAAGTGTTGAATTTTTACAAAGGTTCCTCTTGGTATAAGGAACATAACTATAGCATATTTAACACGTTAAATGCCATGGGTAAATCGATACAAAATTTAATATAAAAATTTTTAGTATATATATCTGATATGTGTTAAAAATAGATATATTTATTTTTGAGCGTATTTTTTCGTCATATATACAAAAAAACACGAGGTCACCGGTGCCCTCCGCGGCGCCATTGACTAGAAATTAACTTTTCCGTTGTACCACGCCGCGTCGGTCACAATGCCGGTCATCCGATGCCCGGCACAATGCCGATCTTTATTTTTCAGAAAATGATTTTTTTTTTCAATTTTCATGTTTTATTGTTAATTCCTAGTTAGTTAGATTTGGTTTGTTTTAGTTATGTCATTACTCTACATAAATATACAGACAACATTTTCAATAACATTACATAAAAATTCAAAACTCATTCTATATCTTTTTTACATATTTATGTAGGTAGATTTGTCCCATTCAGAAGATTTATTCTCCAGCGCCTTGACGATCATTTCTATATATAATATTAACGAAACGAGTGACCACCGGCACAAAAAACAACTTTGTATAATGCTATGTTGTGGAGGTCACCAGTGACCCCCACGGCGCAATGGGACGTCAGAGCTGGTGGTCACCGGTGACCCCCATGGGATCGAATGTGTTAATTTATATCAAAGTTAGGAAAAGTAAATATTTTTTTCAATATAAAGGATTTTTTCTAGGCATGCGTATAAAGGTTTCTGCTTCTAACTGCACTTCACTGACTACAGAATTAATTTTTGTTATAACAGCCTGTTTTTTAAATTCTTTTCATATATCTCACTTTAGCTCCTTGACTACAACTATTAAAAAATTCCTGTGTTCTTTTATATTAATTTTATTTGTTATATCTACTAATTTTTTGTCTCAAATCATATTATATAATCAATTAATAAACTTCCCAATACTTCAGTGTCTGCACAATCACTGTTTGCATATTTGAAAATAAGTGTTGTTATATATTCTGTATCTTTTTGAAGATATTGTCGTATTCACTATTTCTGATAACTGTATAGTTATAAGACAGTAATCACTAACTGTGTTGAAGGTTTATTGGTAAAACAGTGTTGAGAAAATGTGTGGCATCAACTATGCATGAATAGGATCTGCATGGCATTCTCTTTGTCAACCATTTTCCATCCACTCCTGAATGTAGGTCCCTCCAAATTGCTTCCATCTTTCTCTATCTTGCGCCAATCTAATCCACTGTTTGCCTGCCCTTATGTCATCTACCCATATTTTTGAGGTCTTCCCCAAGCTTCTTGTTGTCATCCTTGGTGTCCTTGCTATAATTCTCCGTGTCCACCTGTTGTCATTATATCAGACTACGTGACCTGACCAGCTCCATTTCATTTTTGTAATTGCTTCCACAATATCCCTAATCTTTATATTGTTCTGAAGCTATTTTCTTGTGGCATTGTAAATTAATTACTATTAAGCTGGGAATAAGCCACAATTAAAGATAAAAATAGGTTTATTGACGTTTCAATTTCCACTTCGGAAATCGTTCTCAAAATACAAACAGTAAATTTACTGTTTGTATTTTGAGAACGATTTCCGAAGTGGAAATTGAAACGTCAATAAACGTATTTTTATCTTTAATTGTGGCTTATTCCCAGTTTAATAGTAATTAATCCCTAATCTTTGTTCTATGTCATATCTCAGTGTTTCTAATCTTGTCTCTTAATGATATTCTAAGCATGATTCATTCCATTGCTCTTTTTGCATTGTTTCTAATTTTTTAGCAGATTTTTTGGTAAGGGCTACTGTCTCCTAGCCATAGGTATAATCTTTTAGTATGCATGGCATTAAAGTTCTAGAATATATTAGTTGTATTCTTATACAAGATTTCCTGCAGAAACAAGTATCTTTTACATATTTTCGACAATTCTTTTTTAATTTGCTGTACAATGTACAAAAAAATTGTATTGTTAACCCTTTCACGACGGCAGTTTTTCGACGTGCCGTGCCTCAGATACGAGAGTTTTTGTGCCTTGCGCTTCAATGCGCTTCCCGTTTAGCACTTTCGCGCATTTATGCGTTTCCCGACTTTTATGGTAAACAAGTTCGTAAGTGTAAAATTGAAAAAACAAGTACAGAAGATAAATTTTTTACTAATTATTTATAAAAATGCATATAAATCAAAGAAAATATTCAAAAAAACTAAAACATATAATTCTATATTAGAATAGCAGAAGTTTAGACCCAATACATTTGTTTTATTATGGTAGTTTTCAAAACAAGGTACCACACAAAGAAGAACCTCACACTGTTGGAAACAATAGATTGTTTCTTTGCGTACTTTTTTTTACTGCAAACGATGCAAAGGAATGTGTTTTTGGTTTATATACATCACTGTCTTTCCGCCACTGAATATCATCATCATCGACTAACTTAATTTTTTTTTCTTCTCAGTCAGATATCTTTTTTTCGAACCCATTTGTTAAAAAAAATTATTAATTTAATTCAAAATACTTAAATAAAGGTAACGTGGTTGAAAAGCAAATTTGCACGTACCACCATCATCAACAAATGACTTAACATTTTTTCCAAATGTACTGACTTCACTCCAACTCCCACGCAGTTCATCGCAGCTCTGTGAAATTTAATAAGCGATGACATGTTAGAAATAGTATACAATAAGCAAATTTAAAAGCGATTATGAACGTTTCCCGATCTAAAGTACATTTTGATGTAAGTGAATATATGCGTCTCCCGTATCTGTGGCAAGAAAACTTTTGCACGTATATGCGGTTCCCGACGTTAAAGGGTTAAAATAGTAACTAGACAAAAATGGGTGATTCTTTTAATGTAACAAGTTATATTTTATATATTTAGGATTTATTATATATATATATATATATATATATATATATATATATATATATATATATATATAAAAAGGTAAAATGTTCCTGTTATACTTACAAGATCTCTTAAAAGACTAGCTCTAGTAGGTGGTTGAATAAGTCCCAACAAAACTGCTAGGCGCTGAGCCTTCTCTAAAGGTGACTTGTCAGTTTCGATGAATCTATCAAATTCTGGATGAGCAGAAGGCAATGGTATTGCTAATGTGGCAATTAATACCCTACAGGCCATTCTACAACAATAAAAAAACATTTTTACGATCTCTAAATACCTTTTTTTTAGTATTTAACCAATTGTGCTCTATTAAAATACAATATTTATATGAAAGTTACATCTGTGTTTTGATAATTTTTTCCTATTATGTCTTTTATGAACCTGTGGTCTGATCTATTTATTTATTTATTTATCAACGGACAATTGCCCAAATAAAATACAATGTAAACGTTATTCATTAATTACAGAAAATTTTTAATGTAACCTACTTAAATTAATTTTAAAAATTTTAATCATACAAAAAATAAAAGTAGGAACAGTAAATAACAAACATTGACAAAAAATGTACAAAACACAAGGATATCAAGCTATCACACAACTCATAAGCTGAGCTTTAAATCTTTTGGAATACTATAACAATCCAACCTCTGGGAATATTGATTAGCAAATCTTGGTGTTCTAAACTTGAAGGAATAATTGTGTCTGTAGTTTGTGCGATGGGGTCTAACATAAAAGGGTTGATTTAGCCTTGTTTGTCTATTGGGAACATGGACATTGATTTTTTCCAATAGTTGAGGACCAAAAATAATAGATTGCTGTATACTATAAAACACAGTGAGATTTTTGTGCAAGCATCAAATTTGGAGAGAAGTTATGTTGAGGAACTTTTCTATGTTTAAATAGTTAATTTCTTCAATCCTCTGGTTCTCTTTAAATGCAACAAATCTTAAAGAATTTGTGTTAGAACTATCAATAGATGGGTGTTATAGTGAGAAGACCAAACACATGAACAGTAATCTAGATGGGGTGTCACATGTGAATAATACAAAATTTTTATGGATGGGATATTTAGAAAGTCTTTAGCACAACATTTGATAAACCCTAAAAGTTGAAGTGATTTTGAGACAACATATGAGATATGAGGATGTAGGATAAGTTGGAATCAAGCACAACACCTAGATCTTTTATCTGAGATACAGAGTCTAAAGGGCAACCATTTAATATTATAGATATGATTTGTAGAAGTTTTATTCTGACCAAAAACCATTAAATGACACTTTTTAACACTCTTGTCGCCAATGATATTTTAAATTTTTTCGTATTGCGCCAAAACTATATTATTTTGTTAAAGTGAAATGCTCTAAGTGTATATTAATGTTACATGTTTGTCAATACAGAGTGCACATTAATGTTACACTTTGTGGCGAGAGTGTTAACATTAAGTTCCATCCTGTTACTGTCACACCAACTGATCCAAATCAGACTGTAGTTTTTGATAGTCATCATCATTCTCAATTTTCAAATATAATTTTAAATCATCAGAAAATATTAGGAAAGAAAAGAAAGAGGAAACAAAAGGCAATGTCATTAACATAGTCATTGAATAGAAGAGGTCCTAGGTGTGATCCTTGTGGTAGTCCTGAAAGTACCTTAATCTCAAACAATTGAAATCCCTGAACACATAATATTGGTATTCTTTCAGTAAGTAGGATAACAACCATTCTAAAAGTTCACCCTGGATACCAAGACTCCTCAAGTTATTGATTAAAATATTGTGATTTACCCAGTCAAATGTCTTTGTAAAGTTGTGTATACAGCATGAACCTAGAAACCATCTTCAACAGTATAGAATCTTTAGGAAATCAGTAAATGTCAATAAATTAAGTTCAGTTGAGCAGCTACAGAGAAATCCAAATTGCTGGTTGATAAAACAGCCTTTTAAAGTTGCTGACAAATAGTCACAGACAAGGCTCAGAAAAACTTCTGGAATACAACTTAGAATGCTAATAGGCTGATAATTGTTCATCATCATCATCAGTAGCTAGACAACCCTTTCTAAATCCTGGCTTGTTCTGGGATTGTCTACAATTCTGTTCTGTTCCTTGCTTTGTTTTTCCTAATAATTGTTCATTTGGGAATTATCTCCAGCTTTTAGTATTGGGGTAATAAAGTTAGTTTTCCAGAAGACCGAGAACATCCCATGTCCGGTTAAAAATATAAAAAAGAGCTCTAGAAAGTAAAAAGCTAAAGTGTTTAAGAAAAGAAGGTCGAAGACCATCTGGACCTCTCTTATTGCTTTTGATTGCATATTTTTCATTTGTAATGTAAATTTCAACACTGCCAAACACCAATATTGTATTCTGTCAAACTCAAACATTTGAGGCTATCTTCACTGGGACCAAATGTGAAAAACATCCTTTTGTAACTTAATAATAGAGTCTACACAATAGAAGAAATGAGTTCCCAGTATTTGAATATTGTGAGAGACATGTATGTGAGAAACAACTAAAGGACACAGCAATACTAACTTACCTTTGTAATTCCTCAGGAGTGATGTTCTTCTTCATCTCTTTTGACAACTGGAAGAACTTAAACAAAGCAGCAGCATGGAATAGATAGTTTCCAGCTTTCCAGAACACCATAGCCAATTTCTGGTAATAATTTGCCATGGTTTTTGGTACTGGACTCTTCTTGGACAAATTCATCAAGTTATGGATGTCCTCAATGGCTTTGTAGGCTTCCTACAAAAATTAGCAATTAATTTTTAAATTTACACCCACTCAAATACTAGTTTCTACATTTATATTGCATTCCACATCTTATATATACTTCTAAACAATTGCAGCATGATATATGATACATAACGAGCACTTACTTGCCATAACTCCATCTGAATAGCAAAATCAAGTTGATGGAGCCTTGTTTCAAGATTAAGTTGTTGAGTTTCTGGTTTAGACATGGAAACATTCGCCATTTGTGTTGGTAATTTGCAGATATCCTCCAAATGTTTCCTCAACTTATCACATAATTTTCTAAATTCTGTTTTTCTATTATATTTTAAACAAAATTGAAAAGCCATCCTGGCTATATCATGATACAAGTTCTCAACATGAGCATTTGTACGCAAAAGTTCCAAACATTGGCAGTAAGATTCCCAAAGAAATTTAACCCATGGAGTAAGAATGGTACGATCTGAACGGTCTTGGGCATCTTCTCCAGAAACAGCACTAAAAATGTTTATTAAAAATTATGAAATACTACCTTAAATGTCACTTAAAGAGCTTACCTCAATAATATACTTTCAGGTGTAGCCAAATTATCTAAATCATCAATATCAATAACTGCTTGTGCCGACTGTTCTCTGGCATTCTCTGTTCTTTCTTCTGCCATCCGCAAATACCCTCTTATAACATTTTCAAGTGATCCTACATTCACTGACTGGAACATGTTCCTGTATTGGAAAAGACCTTCCTTGGCAATGTGAGACTTTTTCAGTTCTACACATAGATCTAGATATTTGAACATAATAGGTTCCAAAACGGATTCTGACCAATTGTACGCCCATTTTTTATTACGAAAAACTTCTTGAAGAGTGTCAAGGGCTCTAGCTGGTTTTCCAACTTCGATGAATTCTACAAAAATAATGGTGTAAATATAAGAGAACTACATGGATTGCATCACTGCATCCATATGCAAGGATGATTTGTATACTAACCATTTGCTCGCTTTAAAGCGTTTTCAGGTCGCTGACCGTATCGGGCCATCTTTACTGTGTTTATTTGTTGTATTCACTTCACATTTAAATATATAGAATAGTAAATAAAACTATTATCTTCTGAAATTTCGTCAAAGCAAACGTCAGTTGAAAGACAAAATTTCTGGCAAAATGGCCGGAAATCAGATAACCTTTTTGGTATCTTCCGGAAATACACTCTTCTTCTTTTTAAGAACCAACTTTATAAACTTGAAATTACTATAATTTTGAAAAAGTAGTTACGTACAAATTTACAATATACAACTTTAAAATAGGTAAATATCATTAAAACACTGTTAGTATATGAAAGATACATAATAGAATGAAAGTAATTATATTATCGGATAAATGCACTTAGATTTATTGCATTTTACAGTAACTGTATAACTAATATCTTGTCTGAAAGATGTTTAGGTCATTTATTTTATTGCTAACTTTGTGTCGCTGTTTTTCTGTCAATCGGAATGTCTTCAATAAAAAACTTATCAACTCATATCAACTTTATTAACTAAAAATTGGACTTTGAAAACGGGACTACGGGTCTCTAAAATATATTAGTGTAACAATGGCTTCCACTGCGGTAGACGTACCAGTTGAAAATTCAGCAGTTAGGGAGGATATGGTAAGTTGTTTTTAAATTATTTTCCCTTTTTTTACAGTATTTGTTCAAGGTCCAGACAGCTATAAAGTTTCTAGAAAATCCCAATGTAGTAAATACTCCCCTTGCTCAGAAACAGAAATTTCTACAGAGGAAGGGTCTGACTGACAGAGAAATACAGTTAGCTTGTGAGAAAGCAGGGGCTTATGCTGTACATGAACAACAGAAACGTCTTCCTCCCCCATTACCGCAACCTTCTAGTGCAATAAGTAATTATCCTATGTATGGCCAACCACTGCAGCTCACACTGTTTGATAGAATTAGGGAGGTGGTGCATAATATTGCTTTATTTAGTATTGTTGCCTACATAATTCACAAGTTTTATGAGGTAAGAATTTATATATACTTTTATCATAGTTTATTGGTTAATAAAACTAGTAGATAGTAATTAACAATAAGTGGTAATAATTCTGCAAAGGTAAGTAATTTAGTACATAAGTAATTTAATTGCACTGGGGAACAAAGTAATAACCAAAATATTCTTCTTCTGGTCTGGATTTCTGTGGCCTTGTGTCTTTTATCTGCCAGCCAGAAAAATCAAATATTCAAATTGATGTCTTCTTGTGGTGCCTATCCGTTACGGATGTTGGCTACTAGCATGGCGATTCAACTTTATTGACTGCGGCTCAAAATAGTCCTAAAGTGGTCAAGGAAAACCATTTTCGTAGGTTCTGGAGCCAAGATATTCTTCTTCTTCCTGGTCCCCTCTTTCCGTAGACCTTTCCCTGTAGTATAAGTTGCAGCAGGTTATATCTATGATGGTTTTGCATTATATGTCCAAGATATTCTAGCTTGCACTGTTTCACTATGGATATAATTTCACATGTTTTATCCATCTGACGTAGAACCTCATTGTTTGTTATTCGGTCCACCCAGGAGATCCTCAGTGTCTGTCTATAACACCACATCTCAAACGCCTCAAGTTTTCCCATGGATGCCTCTGTTAGTGTCCATGATTCAACCCCAATGAGTCGCACTGTAAACACATAGCATCCCAATAAACAGATTTTCATTTTTAAAAGGTTCTTAAATATTACTTTAATTAAATTTTATCTTAACTGAGTGGTCCCATTGGTCGTTTATGGCGGTTCCTAAATAGTAGTAATGGTGCACTTGCAGTATTTCTTGCTGATATACCAGTAATTGACTAGGTGGAATATGCTTCTTAAATCCTAATGATATATGATCTGATGCACACGAGAATTTTCTCATAGTAGAGGGAAATATACTTTATTGAGACTATGTAAAAAAAGGTCATCAATCAAAGTCTTTCAGCTATTTCTCTTATGGTTTAATATAAAAATTTGAATTCATGAGTAAAGTTTATTACAGTAGGCTTCCTCTATAACGAGAACTGAAATTGCAGACCAATTACCTTATTATAAGCCGGTCTAGTTATATCAGACAACAATAATACTGTGCATACATATGAATATGTAGTTTTCTAAAACATTAACTTCCCATAGTGAAGCCATTTGGAGCAATATAAGATCTGCAGGTACTTATTTGGTGAAGTCTTATTTATACCTGTCCTGCATATCTACAGGAACGTTCCCTATCAGCCATTGGGACACGCTGTGTCAGGGTTGAGGACTGCCCTGCCCAGTGTGTCTGGGGCTCTGTTTTTTGCACAAAGTACTGAAGGACCCCTACTCAGTTCAGCGTCCTTCCTCTACCCAAGCTAAGACCGGCACAATTTTGCAATAACAGTTACAAAATAATAAAGATACAGTTATTCTATAAGTATTGTATGAAATAAGAAGTGTTGTTCCAGCAATATGTAGCAAAAAAGTGAGAAAATGAGAAAAATCATTTGTTTTTTACAAAATGTTATTGCAAAATTCCTCTCAATTTTTTTAATCCATAGATAATTTGTTTATAACAATTCAGATATGTAATTAATGTAATTTTAAATTAAAGATTCCAAGGTTTTGTACCTAAATTGTGAAAAATATTGCACATTCAATGCATTCAAAAAATGAAAAACCAAGTTCAAACTATGTACTACAATTTTCTATTTCCATATCTTGTTGATGGACTTCGATTCTATTTTTTTAATTTGCATTTACTTTTTGCTTACATTAATTGGTTCATAAATGTATTAACAAATTAATTATTATTTGCTTAAACACGCAGGAAATCAATGCTGTTTATAACATAATTAATATTAATAAGGATATAAGTGTCATCAAACTTTGTTAAAAAGGCTGGGCTGCAGGCGGCTCAGCTTTACCATGGGGATGGCCACAATAGACCTATTAGATCAAGTAGTAGGGTAGTTAATCCATCATTAATATGAGGACCTAACTTAATCTCACACTCTCCACTGTTTCATATTCATTTTCTTATCTGCTCTCCTAAGATAAACCACAGCATCTGCAGCGCTTTTAGTAATGAGTAAATGGACTTCAAAGAATCTGCAACTTTTGAAAAGGACGAAAATTTTTACAACAATGCGGTTAGAAACGATTTTACTTTATATCAATAAATCTGTAAATAAACTATGTTAAAAAAAAGGAGCAGTAGTTTATCATTTTATACTTACTATGGCAGATATTGGGAAAAATCGTAAGTAATATTAGGAATTGCTAAGTAACCTACAGCATCTGCAGATGTTATGTTTCTGCGGTGTTTTTCCTTAGCATAATGTTAAAAAAAATATAATTAAACAACGAAATAAGTTTTTGAATAATTTAATAAAACTAAATATTTAATACAAAAGAGAAAAAAATAAATATAAATAGAAATTTATTAGAAAGTAATATTATTATAAGTAATATTTTTCAATATATTATTTTTCAATACTAACTTTATCTATACAAATACAAATCTTAGTTTATAATATTCAAGTTATTATACCAAAATTTTTTTTTACAGGCACAATAAATGTACTATTTAGGATTATATTGTTTTTACTATTGAAAGTTTACTATTCAATAGTAAACTTTCTAATATCTAATCTTATTAATACTTTTCTTCCCCAAGGTTTTGCCAAAATTGTAATCTATTTGAAGGCATTATGGTTTTGAGATTTTTAATAAGGGTTCCTTTTTAATTTTTTGATAGCCCACATGGAGATGTAAATGCCTGAGGACTGGGAAGTTTTTTATTTAATACTTTATTTTGAAGAAAATTCATTCCAAACATACTGTCGGAGTTATTTGTTAACTTGTACTTTGAGAAAATGATCCCCTGTTCATTTTTCTCTCCTTTTTTCGCCAAATAAGGATGAGGCTCTATTTTTTTAATTTTTGCTTATGACGCGAAATCTTGCCACTTAAAAAAACCTGTATACTGCATTGTTTTTATTGTACCTTTTTTGAATTTGCATTTCCAATAGCTGTAACAAAATCGTTAAAATCGTAGGTTTTCTTTTGTTTTTTTTTTAAGATAGTTTCACCTGATCGGCGGACATAAGGTGTGTCCTGATTCGAAATACTAAATACAAATATCTTGAACAGATATAGTGTCAGAATTTACAATATAAACAATGAAATATAAAAAATTTCCAATTTTTATTTTGACCTGAGCAGTTATCAACCCAAAGGACAAATTGTTTGACATGCCTGTAACGTAAAAAGAAATCATTATATGAGCTAATTCTTCGTTTCCCGGTCCAGTAATACCATCATATCATAGGCATGCAAAAGTTTTTTGTTTTTTTCCTTTACCCAGGGGATGAAGCTTTCATTGAATGTTGATATTCTTTGGGTAAATATTGCTTACTAAAACATATCAATTCTTAGTAACATTATGACTTTTTCTAAGTCAACATAGACTTTAAGAGTTATTGATGTATCTGGTTCATTTGTATCCAAACAGTATAATTCTCTTGAATCTCTGGTGGCACCAGATTTCCAGCTATCATATTCACTAAATGCTGAACTGAAGTTCTCAAAATTATGCTCTTTATTGTGTAGTTGGAATGCTTCACACAGTTCGCACTCTTCAAGGCCCAGATTTGTGAAAGATATGTTTTATTTTGAAGATGCTTTCGATAAACCTTATACGAGCATTGATTAGGAGGGTAGGTTGCTAAATAATCCTTGTGCATGACCTGTATGGTTAAATCGCTAGGCAGGTATCTACGATACAGGGCGTGTTCATGCCTGTAATGAGATATACTGGGATTAAAACTTTCTATATGCGTATAAAGGTTTAGAGTAGATATTTTGCTTTTACAAGCCGCCTTCACACGTCCATCTTTTTTAGAGTCGATAAGAGTAGACGATTGAAACACATTCTGTCTGACAAATGCTTTCGCTAATCACGCCAATTATGTAGCAAAAACACCGCGATTGTGTATTGCTTAAAATAAACACAGTAACTGCAGGGTCCATCAAGTATATGCTGGGTTTTACCTAAACAATGCTGTAGTTGCGGGGTTCTTCGATAGTTCCACGCATGTTTTCGTAGATGCTAGGTTTAGTATTTCTTTCAGAATATATAGTTGGGATTGTAAATACTGTACTTTTCTTAAATAATCATGTAATATAAACTCTCTAGATCTAATTTTCGGGCCCAACTAAATTGTCATAATTTTCCATATGTGAAGTTTTTCCCAAGGACTTTTTTTTTGTATAATTCGAACCAAAAATATTTTGGTACACAATTTAAATTTTTTTTATTTACACCTTACTGAATCAAAAATCTTGTGACTAATAACAACACTGATATCTGATCCAGTCTGTTTGCTTCACATGGTAACAATAAATTTAATGGTGAATGATTAGAGGAGTGTAAATAATTTTACAATCAATATTAACATTATAAAGTAGTGATAAATATTGTTTATAAATTTAAATAAATGGTGTGATATACAATACTTCAAAACAGTCAAATTCCTCACACTCTCAAGTGTGCCAAATAGTCCATGTTATGAGTACTACATCAGATGACAGCTGAAATACATTTTATTATCCAAAATTGCGCGGGTTCAATGTATTCATTTCTGATTTTGTAGAATATATGTGAATGTCAATGAAGAAAACATATTGAACATATTTGAAAACATGTATACTTCTACAGCAGAAAATTTGTGTTTACAAATAAAAATGCCCCTATCCCAAATAAACGCCCCTGTGAATATATTGAAGCAGGAGAAAATATGGCATGAAGCGAAATATATGACGAAAAACAGGACAATATATACTTTTATATAATAAATTTTTTGTTATACCTTTTCTGTATATGCAATTTATAAAGTGGGTCATAAAATCTGGATCTTCTGTTCAATTTTAGTTCTTAAAGATCTCTAATTTCTATTTGAATCATTTTTCCCTAAAATAAGAAAAGTTTTATAGCAAAAAATGGCATTTTTATTTCGAAATTCCTACGAAATCAACACCATGTAAATAAAGAAGTAATGCATAAACGATTATTTATTTTATAACAAAGTAAACAATATGTTGTAGTTTTTAAATTAAGTTTAATTGAATTCATTCAGGGCCCGCGTAGCGCAAGCGGTAGTGTGCTTGCCTCGCATGCCGGTGGTCGTGAGTTCGAATCCTACCGCCGGCAAGAACAACTAGGCATTTTTAAAATGTCTATAGGCCCCAGGTCGACTCAGCCTGAATAAAATGAGTACCTTGGGTAAAACCAGGGGTAATAATAGGCGGTTGAAGCGTAGCACTGGCCATGTTACCTTCCTTGTATACCGTAGGCCCTAGATATAGCAGACTACCCTGCTATACTCCCAAAGCCGCGTGCGGTATAAAACGGGAGACTATTATTATTATTAATTGAATTCATTGACAAAAATTTGTATAAAGGGTGAACTATCAAACAAAATTACGATTTTCTAAATTTTTTTAAATGGATCACCCTATATTTTATTTTTTAGAAATATTGTATTTATGATACTCTTTCATTTTTATATAGATTCCCTTTACCTAAACTCATTACTTTCCGAGATATTTTTGGTTTTCTTCAAATTTCGGAAATACAATCAATTCAAGTGTGTTATTATACATTCATTGCATTTTTGTTGTTCATATTTATAATAATTTATAATTCAGTACACATCAGGCGATAACGCACACAGAAATAGAAATATAGAAATTCATTTATCATATAGCTTATCTTCCAGTTTTAAAAGTTATGTAAGCCACACTATAATATCATGAAATATATAATTTTTTTTAAGGTGTTAACCCTTTAATCGTTCACTACACGGGGTCTATGACCTTAAATTTGAAAATTGAATTAAATGATACTAAAAAAGTTATCTTTGTTTTGATAACAACTGAAAAGTGTTAAAATAACGGCCATTTTAGTTAATGGATATTCAGAAACACTGATAATGTGACTAATATTATATACTAGTTTACACGATTAAGAAAACAATGTTGTAGACAAAATTTCTACTTTACATACAAACTTTCTCTGTGTCTCTGATTGATTTATGATATTTTGAGCACTCTTCGATAACTTTTCTCGACAAGTGCTGTCTTCGAACTTGTTAGAATGTTATATAACAACTCGACTCTTTTTATTTTATCAACTTTCTTCCTTTTAACACGATGCATGCTAATCACGCATATGAGCGTCAAGATATCTTTTTCTTCATGTGCCTTGTCCGTTCCGAACGTTGGCAATCAACATGGCTATTCTGACTTTGTTTACGGCAGATCTGAATAGTTCAGCAGATGACAATCCGAACCATTGCCGCCAGTTTTGGAGCCACGAGTGTCTTCTCCTCCCTGGACCCCTTCTGCTGTCTATTTTCCCTTGAACGATCAGCTGTAGTACTCTATATTTATTATGTCTCATAACGTGACCCAGGTATTCCAACTTTCTTTTCTTTATACTTATTCCTACCTCTCTCTCTTTACCTATCCGGCGTAGTATCTCTTCGTTGGTCACGTGCTCAGTCCAGGATATACGTAATATACGTCGGTAAGCCCACATTTCGAAGGCCTCTACTTTTTTCATCAATGTTGCGGTCATTGTCCACGCCTCCATTCCATATAACAAAACCGGGAATACATAACATTTCAGAAGTCGAATTTTGAGAGGTAGGGTGAGGCTTTTAGAGGTGAAAATTTGCTTCATGCTAGTGAACGATGCTCTTGCCTTTTCTACTCGTATACGTATTTCCTTCGCTTGATCCCAATTTGAGTTAACTGTTGTTCCCAAGTAGATATACGAATCCACGTGTTCAATTCTTTCATTGTCTAATATCAGTTGCTGTGGTGGTTGTTGGGTTTTGCTTACTAACATCCATTTGATTTTTGTGATATTTAGTCTGAGTCCGTATTGTGCACTTGTTTTTTGTATCTTACTCATTAGGCAACTCAGTTCATCCATGCTACTTGCTAGAATCACAGTGTCATCAGCATTTTTTATGTTATTAATTATTTCTCCATTTATCTTTATGCCTTCTGTGCTTTCCTCCAGCGCTGTCTTAAATAATTCTTCTGAGTACATATTAAAGAGAATAGGAGACAAGATACAGCCCTGTCGTACCCCAATGTTTCACATTGTGTTTTCACTCAAATGTTTTCAATAAACAATATCTCATATAATGATTCTCAAAATTTTGTTCTACATACGTGAACCTTCAAAATTAATGGTACAAAAAATATTAGTTAAAATCTCAAAATCCCAATTATTATTCTAAATCTCCTAATCAAAATATTTATATCTTTTCTAAAGTAATTGTAAAAATTGTGTTATCAATAAAAGAAAAACTGCAGGAAAACAAAACTATCTATGATGATGAGTGGTCCAAATCATTGTGCCTTGTAGCCTACAGTATATATTCTTAGCAGCTCCCTATTCTTTGTTTCAAGTTAAGAAAATAACATTACGCTTATGGAGATCAGTGTTGCCAAAACTCTCAGACACTCTCTTTTGCACGGATGTCCAAGATATTCCCTTTGCTTAATTTTTGAATTTTCATTTTCAATTAACATTTAACTGTAAAGTCAGAATAACTACTAAATAAAAGCCTTAGTATCATTATGTATGTAGTCAGAGAACGACATAAAATAGCTGACATACGCACATCGTATTATTTTAAGTTGCAATTAGTAATTAGATATATACGCATTCCAAGCGGTCAATATTTTCTACTGATTTCTATGATTTATGGCATATCGTATTCTCACCGAAAAACAAATAAACTCTCGTTACTATAATTAAAATAAGATAAAATAAAATTATCTTTTGTAAATACTATTTATCTAATTAAAATCATTTTCCCTACTTTTTATCTCTTGTTTCGAATGGGCACTTTTGGTCAATTACGTTAAAAAACATTAATATAATTTATGTTTTTGGAAATGAAAATACAAATTATACAACCCTAAATTGTGCTTGTGTGTGTCGTGGCAACGCCGCGTTGCTATCGTCCATAAGAAATACATGGCCCTATCTCCGCAATGTTATTTTCTAAACGTGGAACGTAGTATAGGTAATCAGCAATCTTATAACAAATTGTTGCAAGTTTATCGTCCTCAATGATCTCCTTCAAATGCACGAATCGTTCAAATTATGCTATCCTCTTCTCCTCTCGATAAACTGAATCTCTCGTTGGCCTGAGTGAAAAATGACTCTTGGAATATCTTCTCTTTACGATAAACTGAATCTCTCGTTGGCCTGAACAGACTCTTGGAATATAAGTAGAAAAATATGACTTACAATCTTTTACTGGATCAGCTTCTGTCAGATACACTAACTACACAAAAACTCACAAACTTTCCTTGCTACTGCTTCCTATCTCTGGGAAACTACCCGAGAACAACGGCCGTTCGCCTTGCACCCTTGGAAACCAACTGCCTATCTTTTTTTCTTCAAAAACTAACTAAAGTCTCATTCTTAAACCAACCATCCCACCTTTTTTAATCTCATCCAATCAAAACGCGTCATACATCTCCCATTTCTTCATTTCGATAACACAAACAAATTTTTACCTACAAATATAAAATTTCCGAACATTATTTACAAACTAATCTTTTTCTACCAATTCTTATGAACTAACAAAAACATATCTTTCTAAAATCTATTCCATTGTCCTAATTACTGCACAAATTTATTTGGAAAACCCGCTTCCATTGTCTAGGATTTCACTTAAGCTTATTCACGTCACTCAAATATATTTTAACGAAGAAAATAATTTATGCATATCTTACTTTTTGTTCAATATAGGTAATCCAAAGATAAAGGACTTTCATTCTTCGAAATGTTTGTAGTTTATTATTCGTTTTATCTGAATTATTTTAATTTTTTGAACTTTGAAATATTTTAAGCAAACCAATATTTTTCTCGATTTTACATATCATAATAATAATAATAATATATATATATATATATATATATATATATATATATTCCAATGACGACAGATTATTAACTTCTTTTAGAGATATATAGCTCCGTTCTTATTTGGCAAAAAGAAAAAATCCATCGAAGATACCATTGAAGAACTAGACGGAAATATCAAATCTTCCGTTAGCGAACTGAAAGAAGATCTGCAGAGTGTTAAAATAGAAGTTGATAAGATTAGCAGCAGTAACGAAAGTCAAACTAATAGACAACTCGTAGAATTAAAGTCTGAGATTGCCAGTGTTAAAGGGCTTCTATTAGGCAGGTAAGATATACACCAAATACATATATGTGCATCCTCACCCTACAACTCTTGGTCTTTTCCACATTTCTCCATCGACTGAGTTATTTTTTCACCTTGTTTCTTGGGTCCTTCGACGCATTCTCTTCATGTGTAACGCCAGTTTTCTTGACCTTGCCAATCCAATTTTGTCCTTCTTTTCTAGCATCTGTTAGAAGCTCAAGATACTTCGAATTCTTCACGTGATACCTTTTCTCACTGGTCCGTAGATCCTTTTCTTTAATTCTTTTCAGTGCCATGTTCAGGTTTTCTATCTTCATTCGTCTGAAATGTCTTCTTCTTCTTCTTTAAGTTTCATCTTCTATTGAAGGTTTTTTGTGACTTGCATAGTAAGCTGCAATACTGAATATTTTTGCCCTCTCATAACATGGCGTAACTACTCAAGTTTTCTTTCTTTCTACTCAGCTTCATTTCCTATTCTTCTAGTAACTTCTGCGTTTTGACATTTTTTGAGTCCATGATATTCGTAGAATCCTTCTGTAACACCAAAAATTCAAAAACGGCCAACTTATTCAGATGTCTAAGATGTCAGCAAATAATACACTCACCGGCAAAATTAACGGAACACCTTAAAAATGGGACATGTTAGATGACTCGAATTTCCTAAACCTGTTGTCCGATTTTAGTGATTTTTTTAGTATGTTATAGGTATATTATTTAAGAATATTATTTAAGAAATAATATTGTTGCTAGACAGGTCAATGTCATTTTATACCGGGTGTAACAATCATACTGTTTTTTCCTTAAAGTTCGAAACACCCTGTGGAATATTATAGCATATATAAAATATTGAAATTAAAGCTCAATTATAGTCTCAGGCTTTCTTAACATTTTCTTTTTTGATTCATTTGCTTGTGTTGGATAATAAAAAAGTTAGGTACTTTAACAACTAGCCATGTTTTTCATCAATAAATGCTCATTTTCTTCTTAGTTTCACCAGCATATTTAAAGGAACAACCATAAAATTTGAGTATTTTCTCTCTAGTCTATATACTGTTTAGATAATATCATAATACGAATGTTGGTGAAGTATTTTGAATTTATATTACAATGGTAGTACAATATAAAATCTGTTTAAGAAGAAATAAAACACAAAGATGTCAGACTTAACAAAATACGGATTTTAAACGCATTAACTTTATTGTAGAGTTTGAACTTAAATTGGTTTTTTATGCATTTTTTTGGCTTTAATAGCGTGTGTTCCTCTACGAGCCCTTACAACTGCAGTTATTCGTCTTCTCATACTTCTGATACCGCTATCGATCAGTTGTTGGTCAGTCTCTCCCATTCCTCAATCAAAGCAATTGTGACTTCCTCTCTGTTTTGAATAGCAGGAACCCGTGCCCTAAGTTTTCTGCCTAGCATGTCCCACATATCCTCTATCGGGTTTAGGTCTGGGGAACAAGCTGGCCAATTCATCGTTGTTATACCCACTTGTAATAAGAAATATCTTACACAGTCTGCGACGTGTGGGCTCGCATTATCCTGCATTAAAATAAAATTTTCGCCAATATATGGTAAAAAAGGTACCACATGGTTTTGGAGAATATCTCTGATATACTTATCTGCTGTTAATGCTCCATCATCAATCACCACTAACTCTGTTATTGCTCCCAAACATATACCGCCCTACACCATAATTGAACCTCCACCAAAAGGTACGGTCGTAGTAAAATTGAAAGGGGCATTTCGTTCTCCTTGGCGTTGATACAATCTTTCTCTACCGTCGATGTAATTTACACAGAAACGGCTCTCGTCCGTAAAGAGAATTTGACTCCAGTGGTTATCATTCCAATTTTGATGTACTCGACCAAATTGTAGTCGTGCTAAACGATGGTGTCTCTGGAGTCTGGGAGCTTTTATTGGCACATATGACTTGAGACCGGCTTTTTTAAGTCTCTTTCTTACTATGCGCTCAATTAAATACAAGTTTGTACTTGTTATGAACAGACAGAATAACTGTAAAATGTAAAACACAATACAAATAAACAAATTAATTTGACATTTAAGACTTTCTTGTGACAATTATATCTACAAGCTTTCAAAGCTATGTAGATATAATTTATAAAATACAAATATAAAGAAATATTGCATTATTAACAGGTTCCTTTAAATTTGCCACTGTGTGTATTAAATTGTTAACTTCTCATAGCCTACTTGAGGCTTGTTTATTAAATTAAGCAGAAAATGAGGATTTATTGATGAAAAACATGGCTAGTTGTTAACGTACCTAACTTTTTTATTATCAAACATAAGCAAATGAATCAAAAAAGAAAATGTTAAGAAAGCCTGAGGCTATAATTAAGTTTTAATTTCAATATTTTATATATGCTAGAATATTCCACAGGGTGTTCCGAACTTTAAGGAAGAAACACAGTAGGATTGTTACACCCGGTATAAAATGACATTGACCTGTCTAGCAACAATATTATTACATCGATATTCTTAAATAATATACCTATAACATACTAAAAAAATCACTAAAATCGGACAACAGGTTTAGGAAATTCGAGACATCTAACATGTCCCAATTTTAAGGTGTTCCGTTAATTTTGCCGGTGAGTGTATTTCCAGCATCACTGAAAGATTCTTTATCATACATCAAAACATACAAGCCTCGCGCACAAAATAATCATTTTACTTTATAATTTCTAGAAAACAGTTTCCGTCGGTAGCAAACAGTCCCGTAGTACCTCCATCTATTCCAGCATGGCAAATGTCCAGCGTGCCACCCGACAACATCGATGAGCATGATGACCACGAAGAGAGGAAGGAAGATTTAGAAGAATTAGGCTCAGGGTCCGGATCGTCGGAACCAGAACATGGGATGAAAACGAGCGAATCTAGTTTAGAAATAATGTAAGTAATCAGAATCGTAATTAACACCGCATTTTAAAATATTTAATAGTTATAATTAAGAGCAATTTTTAGATAAAAGACGTAATCTACAGCAATTTGTTCGAAAGTAGTGACAGTTTCGCGTATTGTGAACGTGAACATCAGACTGATTTATTGAATGGTCCCCATTTCTGTGAATTTCAGTCAGAACTTGAAATATCAACAGAGTAGGAAGCGGCATAATCTTGAATTTGATAAAGAAAGGTCGACAGTGTTTTAGATAACTAACCCCTGCTAAAATCTTGATAGTTTTCTTTTGCATTCTAAAAATATTTGAAGTGCATTTGTTGAATTGCCCCATATGATTAATCCATAGTTTAGGTGAGAGTACAATAAAGAAAAATATGTCATTTTAATGTTTCAAATTTGACAACCCTTGCTAGTTGGCGAATAACAAATAATGAACTTAATAGCTTTTTCTTTAGTTGTGAGATATGCGCAGACCTGTTCAGTCGATTTTATCTATGGCTATTCCTAGTATTTTAAGTCTTTCAGTTATCGGGATCATTATGTAAATGCCTTGCAGATATAACCAAATTTTGCGTTTTATCAGAGTTAAGTTTTAGTTTGTTTGCAGGAAATCATGTGCTAGATTTAGTAGAAACTTTCTCATGAAATCTTTTTAAATCATCATTATTTTTTCCTGATATAACGTATGTCATATCATCTGCGAATTGTATGGATTTGTACGGAGATATGAATTTAGGCAAATCGTTGTTATGAGTAATAAACAAAAGAGGTCCTAAGACCGAACCTTGTGGGACTTAATGTTTTACGGATAGAAAATCGGAGAGATTGTAACCGTTTCAAAAGTTTTAGGAAATTTGTTATAAATTAGATTGTTTTTTTTTTTTTAAATAAAACTGCTAACCCCATCTATCTGCCGGGTACTTGTAGCCGACTCAAGGTTTCTACTGTAATTCTAAATCTATCCGGTAGATGAGAACGATTATTAACTTGTCAATCACGTCCCAATTCAAACCGGTAAGTCATAGCGTCTGTCTTTTTTCTCTTACAAACATCCAACTGTTAGGACGTGTTTTGTGAAGTGGGTCTCTATATAGAGACCTTTACCGGAGAGGATAAAGATCATTGATCATGTTTATTTGGCTCTAAGTTAACTGAGAAGTCATATGCTGTCGTAAACGCAGCCCAAATTTCATTATGATCTTAATGGACCCCTAATAAATAATTTAATTAAATACTTGGAGGGCGAGGAGAAACAGAGCATATCCTTTTTGTATGGTTACCAGCTATTGGATAATTAAGGTTGTAATATTCTTTTTTATTACATCCTATCGAGAAAGCGAGAAATAATTCTGGACTCAGAGAAAGGAAATATAGCAGTGTTTTAATTTTGTTTAAAGATTTAACTTTTCTATTATGCCTAGTTAATAAATAACTACTATAGTATTTTGAATGTAAACGAATTTCGAAATTTGGAAATAATATATAAATTCATTTGTTTTTAATAACCAATTCTTGATTTAATACGATATAAAGTTGTTTTGTTTATAGTAACGTAATTATGAAATGGTATTTTAGTATCCTTTGGGAATAACATAACTTTTAATGTTTCTTTTTATTACTGAGAAATAATAAAGTGTAATTTCGTTGTAAACTTTCTATAAATCTTATTTTTTTTCTCTCGTCCCCTTCGAGGATAAACAGGGGGTGGCGTACAATAATAAATTATAATTTCAGATTATCTAATTGTGTTTGGATTTTTGAAATATTACGTAGTTTCTATACATTTGACCGTACCCCGCAATTTCTCTCCGACATTGAGCGATTCTGGCCTTGAATTAAATTTGTGTGCTAAATGTTTATTAAGCATCTACGTTACAATATAACCTTTAGGCACTACCACCTGGCGTCTGTCACATAGATAAGAAGTTATAAGCTTAAGAGGGATATGTCTGATTCCACAGTAATTTAATTTGTGGAGCAAAATGTTAAGAAGCAAAGAGTCAACATCTAGCCAAACAGTGTCATGACATTGAAGAACTTGAAAAAGATACGACACGTTTAACATGTATAAAAAAGTGAAAGAAGCGACTGGTATCTTCAATAAAAAACAAAGTGCATTGCTACAGGATGAAAATGGTAAAGTAATATTTGAAGTAGAAGACAAACTTAAAGAATGGGAAAAGTACGTCACGAACCTTTGATCGTTTTGCGCCATTATGTCTTGGTGGGAAGGAATATACACCAGTTTTATCACAATATATTTTTTTATGTTTTTTTTTACCATTTACGCTTTTTTTTAACAAATATTTTTATTTACCTTCTCAACTTTTATTTTTTACAGAACACACGATGAGCAATATTAAATCATGCCGTACTTTTCAAACAAAAGTAATTATTTCGATAAAGTAGTAACCATCAAATTGACTATCGCCTTTATTTCAGATATTCCTCAAGAGATTGTGATTCGGAGTCCTGCCATAGCCGGAAAAGTACCAAGGACGACATCGATAAAGACTAGGATATTCCATTTCAGCTCATCTTCAATTTTTAGATACTTATTTTAATAAGTTACCTTTTATATTTATAGATATTAAATGTTATATTTATTTTTAACATGACAACAGTTTTTTTTATGAATTTACGCCCAAAATGATATTTTGCCACCATTTTAAAATCTGTTGAGATTGAGTGCGCACGATTTTTCGGCATTGTGATTTAGATAGAATTATCTTGACTTCTGTGGTTTTTGTTTGAATTGTTGACTCATTCAGATTAATTTATTTTTCCAGTTTTACACAATCCGATCAGAACTCGTTTGTTTTTTCATAGATCAGTTGTGTCCATGTCTCCAAAAAAATAAGTCCATGGGTGTAGACATAAGTCCATGTGTAGTCAATAGTAGAATGACTTCGGAGTAGTACCATTCTTGAGGAATCTTTCCTTCATCAATTACTTTATTAAATAAAATATTTAATACCTGTTCCATTTTTCTGCCACCAATTTTCAACATTTCAACTGTAATTTTATCCTCTCCTGGACATTTATCGTTTTTAGTTGATTTAGGGCCATTCTTATTTTTTTATAGTCGGTTATGTCCGGTATTTATTCTGAGCCGGTGTTAATTATTGTTCGTTCAGTACGTAGTTGTTGTGGTTGTGTATTTACGGCGATTCTTTCGTTACAGTTAGATTGCTAACGCCTAACTCTCTAGCAACGCTTTTACTTGAACGATTGTTGCACAAATTTGTGTATCCCGGTATCCTCAAATTTTTCTGGTGACAGTTCTAGAGCGTGAAATTTTTGAAGCAATAACAACTCCCAAAATTTTTAATAATATCATGAACTGCCTGTACATAAGGAATTGGGTTTCGCTCAAAAAACAGAAAATAAATCTACAAACTGTTGTCCAGAAATACCACCATAAAATCATTTCATTATTTGAACCTTTTCTTCGGCGTATAAACATATATGTTGTTTACAATAACAATCCATTACCAAACAATCTACTGTGGATCAGTCTACAGTAAAGTTTTTTCCATCATGTTAAATCATGTCCGGTAAATAACCATTCCATCCAAAAGTGGTTCAGTAATTGATCTCAATTTTGTGGGGTTCAAGAACACGATGAGAGCTTGGAGAATTATCCAGTGTGGTAGAAAGACTACCCTTCTTTCCCGGTACTGTTTTTTAGCCAAAATTACAGATTTTTGAATTACTTCACTTGAATTTTGAAAACTATGAATTTTCAGTAAGTCCATGATACCCCTTTTTTGAATAACCCAATTGAGTAGCTCTATTTTTGGATTCTAACCAGGCGTTTACACAGACCAAGTCTGTAGTTTATCTAAACATCCTGAGGGTAAGAGTACTAATTATTTCGTAATTTGAAAAATCTATTGAACTTATTATTTTTACTCTTGGATAATGAATATTGTTCACCATGATATGTATACCAACAACCGTTTTCATTTTATTATTATTTGTAGCCTGAACTTGAATTTAATTAGCATATAAATTAGTAAAATTTGTCATTTAATGAAACAAATCGTCAGTAATGTACTGGGGAAAAAGAAGTTCAGTTACTTCATGTATTTTATGCATAGGTTTTTTTAGTCAATTGATTATTTTCAATAAAAGTATAAATTCTTTTCATTTTTTTTTACATCCATCCTTTTTCCTTCAGCTTTTTCTACCAATTCCTGGTTTTTTATAAGGTTTTTTTTATTTAGTCTGTTCATTTTCAATAATTCAGTCTGTACCACATCTAAGAGGAAAAATGTTGTCAATAATGTTACGACACAGATAAAAAATAAGATTAAAATTACCTTTAATTGTTACAATACCAGACTCTCGGCCATAATCTCCAGAACCATCACTACTTTAGTTTATTTAATAAACAAAAATGAAAGTTATGCTTACTTTGTGTTCACTTGGTCACGGCGTAGACGAATGTTTCTTAGAAGCCCTAAATATCAGGAAAATCTTTTCAAAATCTATTTTATTTTTCACTTTACCTCAAAAACACTACTTGATGATGTTGATAGTAGTTAAGGTTTCACAAACTCTAATTTTCGGATTGGATCATTCGATATAATTTTTGTATCGTGTTGTTGTTTGTTTACCTTTGAGGTTAAGTTCGTGTTTTGATTTTGAATGTTGTTTTTTAGTTTTATAAACATTTTAAATAGTGTATACCAGTTTTGTTTCTAAATATTTTTTAACAATCATAAGTATTGAAAATGGATGTAAATTTTAAATGTTTACTGATTTTTCAAAATAAAATTTAATAAAAATAATCATATTTTTCTTCATTCTTTTTTGTGTAGAAAATTATGAGAATAGGAAAAGCTAATGTAATACATACAAACAAAATTTTTCTAATCTCCCTAATCAACAACAAATACCTTTTTATAATAATTTGATGACCATGCTGCTTCAACAAAAGAGGCTTTTTGATAGTATACCTAAGGGTAAATTCTCACTAATAGATACAAAACGTTGATTCATTTAGAAATAATTTATTACTTATTGTATTTAGACAGAATTGGCAATTCTTAATTCTTTACCTGCTCAAAAATATTTACTTCAAACTGATAAAGAAATTTACAATTGTTTGAAATACAAGTAAAAAAGGGATTATATTAATTCTCAAGTGAATGAACATTGAATTACCATTTATTTATAAGAACAGACATATTTTTGACAATTTACACGTGTTTTTAACGAGTTTGCATCGTTGTATTTGTATATTCATCAATTTTGTGGTTTGGTTTGGGCTTAAATTCAAAGAACTGACTATTTGGTCACACGGTACAACCTAAAATATTTTTAAATTATTTTGTTTAATAAAGCTTTTTTGTTTGGCATTGTATATTTCTTATCCCTAATGTCCTGCTTTTAACTTGATCTTTGTTTTGTTCGGTAACTGATCACTTAAAGGAACAGGAGCAATAATTGATGTAAATGAAATTGTTAAAAACCTCTGTATGGTTTTTGATAGAGTATACCTAGAAGAAAAACAAATAAAACAACGGTTTTCGGCTTTTCCTTTTATTCTATTCAATAGTTCACATTTTTATGCAAAAGGTCCACATTAGGTACTTCTTGTTCCAAGATCATTGATTCATTACCAAATCTTGATAAGCTCTCTAAAGCATTTAGAGGTATCTCGGTTGAATTTAAACAAAAACACAAGGATATGGATGGATTTTGTAATTTTAAGAATTACAAAAGTCATAACTATTGCTTCAGTGACGAGGCAGACCTTTTTTGAAGATGTATCCAAGTATGCCCATATTCACAGTATTAATAACTTTTAATCTTGCACAATGTTACAAAAAATTAACCAAATTTGTATATACAGGGTTGGAAATCTAAAAAGTGAACAGCACAGATACATCTGACAACGTCGCAAAATATTCAGCACTTCTTTCAACTATAGTTCATAGTATTGATTCTAAAAAAAGTTTGAGACATCATGCTTAATATTCGATAGTCAGCTCAGTGTTAGGCATTTAATTTTTATGTTAATGTTACGAATGTTGATTTTAACCAGTCTGATGGTATTTTACCTGTGTCATTATCTTATTGAATAGTGCTGTTATTAAGTCGAGGCTTTTACTTTCGTTGTCTGCAATTAATTTAAGTATTTCGACATTGATATTGTCCGGACCAGTTGCTTTCTTGTTCTGCTAAGATTTTGCTGCATAAATAACTTCTCCTTTTTTTATTTTTGGACCTTTTTCATTTATTCGATCATCCGTGAATGGTGGATACAAGGTCTATCATCGTCAAAAAGTGTCTGAATGTGTTCTTTCCATCTCTCCAGTTTGTCATCTGTACCTTCTATTATTTATATATATATATATATATATAATATATATAATATATATATATATATATATATATATATATATATATATATATATATATTTTTTATTGACTCGTTTGTATTCTATTATGTAACCTGATGTCGTCTTCTTGTATCTTTGTTATTTTCGTTTTTAGAGCAGTCCATGTTACTTCAACGTATGTCTGTACAAGTTCTCGAGCGTTTCTATTTATTTCTGAACCTTGATACTTATTTCATTTTTTCTTTCAGGGTTCTTCAGTTGTGAGATGTCCATTTTTTCTTGGCACTTTTTCCCTTTTAACTTTAAGAAACCTTTTTAGTCTAAAATCCATTATAACTGGATTGTGATCGCTATGAATGTCAGCTCCAAGATATGTTTTAGTAGATTTTATGTACTTCTTGAAGTTGTTATCAAGCAAAATTAAGTCAATTTGATTTCTAACAATTTTATCTTTTCTGTCTACAGGTGATTTCTAAGTGTATAGCCTTCTAGGATGTTATTTGAAGAAGATGATGGTTACTAACAGATTGTTCTTTATTCTATCTCGACTTTTTTTGTCAGTCGTAATATTTCATCTATATTGCTATAAAATTTTTTAATTTCTTCCTCTGATTTGTCACTTGTTTAAAACATAGATCTGAATTACATTTAGGTTTCTATGGGTTGTTCTTCTTTCGTCAACTGAGTACATCTTATTAAATTTATTGCTTTTCAGAAAATAAATTGTAGAATAAAAATATTGACAATTCAAATATTGTTAGAGATAGTGAATTATCTAAACGGCTATTAACCCTTTACCGCATCTTCTTCTTCTTTAACTTTAACTTCTATACCTATTTTCAAAACTGCTGACCGAAACAATTCGTTGTTGCTACAGCTATACCATTCCCGTAGATTCTTTAGCCAGGAGTTTCGTCTTCTTCCTATGGACCTTTTTCCTGCTATTTTCCCTTGCATAATTATTCGAAGCAGTTCATATCTTTCGCCTCTTGTAATGTGTCCCAAGTATTGCAGTTTTCGTTTTTTGATCGTAAATATGACTTCCTTTTCTTTATTCATTCTTCTCAAGACCTCGACATTTGTGACTCTCTCGGTCCATGATATTCTCAGGATTCTGCGATACATCCACAGTTCAAATGCCTCTATTTTTTTTGGTATCAATCTTTTTCAACGTCCATAACTCCATTCCGTAGAACAGCACAGAAAGTACGTAACATCTCATCAGGCGAAGTTTCATTTCAAGGCTCAAATCTCTTCCGCAGAA